AGAAACGGGACCCAAATAGGAAAAACCGAAGTTTTCTGGCACAAAGATCGAAAAGCCAATCTTAAAAATAGCCAAAACCGCAAAACCGAAAATCCCAATACCCCACCTGAAAGTGACTAGGATCTAATTTCTCCTCACAATATCACACCTGAATCAAACATTGAGGTCACAAGAATACAGGGAATTATCACCAAATAAATCAGCTCTTGTTTGTTAAACAAATTCTCCTTACCAGCCCCTCAGGAAATGTATGGCAAAAAGTTTGGAGAATATGTATACTGATGTTAGGGTGTAAAAAGGTAAACATAAATGACAGGATATATCAAACCTCAACATTTCACCATTCAAAATGACAAAAATTAGCTGATGGGACTTCAAACAAAAAGGCAGAGACCACTCTGTTTTTATTTTTTTAAATCAATATCAATCTAATGGAGGATACCACTAAGTCTGGTCAAAATCAACTAAATAATGATTCAATACTAGCTAGTTCGTACAATTTTTCATAACTGAGCATTGTAATATTAATATCATCATGTTCAACTTTGACTTTTTGACCATAGTATTCCACTCTTATGGATTAAAGGACTAACTGCTGTCATTTTTTTTGTTTCAGGTGATGTTACGTTCAATGATGTGTTCAGAGATTTTTCTAATATGGCATCCAGAGACCCTGACAGGCTTAAACGCAATTTTGATTCAAGTGGACCAAGTAGACAGACACAACTGTGATAACAAAATCAATTTGTTCCACCTTAAATTGAAAACAAATATTTGAGGTCACTTCACATCAAAATGTTTCATTCCTCAAAAATAAGCAAACAAATTCTCATTTCATCGAAGAAACCAATTTGAATATTCACTCTAGATTTAATCTTACCACAAACACAAAAGGAGTAAAACATTATTTCCAATTTATGTTTAGTTTTGTAGTAATTTGCACCAATCAGGAATTAATGTTCACACTGACAATATTACTAACTGTCATGTAATGTAAGAAAACTGAACTGTACAATTAACATATTTTTTATTCATTAGGAATTTAAAATTATCCCCATGATAATAACAGCATCGTTTAGAACAGAGAATAGAATCTTGCACTGAATAACTTAAGGAAAGAAAACATATCAGTAAATCATTGTTAAAAAAAAATAATGAAATTTGTAAATAAAATTTCCCCTATGACAACTGAATGGAAGGAAGGACATCAATGTTTAATGAAGAGTTGACTGTATGAATACTATGGTCAAAAAGTCAAAGTTGAACATGATTATATTAATATTACAATGCTCAGTTATGAAAAATTGTACAGACTAGCTAGTATTGAATCATTATTTAGTTGATTTTGACCAGACTAAGTGGTATCCTCCATTAGATTGATATTGATTTAAAAAAATAAAAACAGAGTGGTCTCTGCCTTTTTGTTTGAAGTCCCATCAGCTAATTTTTGTCATTTTGAATGGTGAAATGTTGAGGTTTGATATATCCTGTCATTTATGTTTACCTTTTTACACCCTAACATCAGTATACATATTCTCCAAACTTTTTGCCATACATTTCCTGAGGGGCTGGTAAGGAGAATTTGTTTAACAAACAAGAGCTGATTTATTTGGTGATAATTCCCTGTATTCTTGTGACCTCAATGTTTGATTCAGGTGTGATATTGTGAGGAGAAATTAGATCCTAGTCACTTTCAGGTGGGGTATTGGGATTTTCGGTTTTGCGGTTTTGGCTATTTTTAAGATTGGCTTTTCGATCTTTGTGCCAGAAAACTTCGGTTTTTCCTATTTGGGTCCCGTTTCTCTGCGATCTGAGCGGCAATTATGCGTCTCCACTGATCTCGAATAGCCCCAAAAAGCTCTGTATGCTCCACTTGTCACCACTGCATCAGATCGATCAGGGTTTTGATCACTAGGATGTTGAAATTTTTAAGACTGTTTTGCATGCGGTTTTCGGTTTTGATCCAATTTTTTTGCGGTTGTGTGGTTTTGGATGATTGCGGCTGCTAATAGACCCCGATGCCCCCTTCCTCAGCGGTTTAACAGGTTTAAGGGTGTGCATGTCAACTTTTAAAAATGCCTCCCAAATATTTTAATTACGACCACTGTCAATTTGTCTCTTAGTCTGATTAGCAAATCAAAAGGTCCGCTTCAGGTTTCATTTATTCTCCTCTTTCGAAAAAGCCAAAATCAAACTCAAAGGAAGCAAAGATAAAAACTTTCGAAGTTGTAGTTGACGCAAATAAAGCATTTTAGAGACTTCAGAGAAAAACAAGGTGCCAAGTAGAAAAAAAAAGCACTTCCAAAACTGTTTTGTTTTGTTTTCCATTTCAAACTGTGGTAATGTGGTTTGTTTATGACACCAAAAATGCTTAGCTCTATTAATTATGAATGCAGACAAAACTTGGGATCTAATACTTTTATTTCAATTATTTTAATTTGAAAACAAATCTCCCTGAAAACATACTCCACCTTTCACATTCTTGCCAGAAACAAACCTAAATAAAACTACGAGGATTGCCAACTGTCCATATCATTTTATAATATAGCATCTTTCAGGCTCTAGCGCAGCTCCCCAAGCCCCAACCATTTTGGTCGCCATTGCGAGAGAACATTTGGCGACTGAAATTTCGACAAGTCGCCAATTGGCAACAAACAGGAGAACATGTTGAAAATTTGTCCAACGAAAAACAAAACGTAATCTTTCGATTTCTTTACGTTGATTCAAATCAGTCAAATGTAAACTTAGCAGCATCATAACGTTGAAACGGTTAGATTTAAGTCGTTAAAATTTTCCCAACAGTGGCGCGTTATCGCGAAAAAGAAAATCTTGAAGTTGCGAGGATACCGATCGAGGAATTTCCGATACACAGTCCCTAAAAATTGTATAATAACATTAGCATAATAATAGCGATTGCCAAGTCACGCACACTATTTCCATCCTTTAGTCAACAAGTATGAAATTGGTTCAACCTCAGCGAGGAGACCGAAGAGGAAGTGTTGGTTTTTGAACGCTTCCAAGACAGTCAGTAGGTGTTTCGGAAAACTGTTTTCAGCCACCTTAAACTAAAAGAAAATTTAAGGAAAATGCTGTTTTTATTAAAAGAATTACTCGATGCGCGTTAATATTCCGATTTGTAAGACCGACGTGTATAGCGATACTGTTAACTTCAATAAATGAGATCTACGATATTTTGGCTTGTGGGTGGTACACATTATTGGTGTTTAAATTCGCCTTTTTCGCAACTGTAGAAAAAAGGTTAAATCATTGTCCAGCGGATGAAAATTCTCGCGAAATTTAATTCCCTATAGAACATTCAAATAACAGAAAAAATGATCTGAAATGTGAAAAAAACAACATATACAAGATGTGTATCGGCAAATACATAAAAATTTTATTAACTGGTCTTACTGGTAATTCAGTTTATTTTGTACCTTCTGTTGCGAAGTGTTGTCTTTAATTTGCAAAGGTTTTCGCATATGGAGTAGAGATTCTCGCTATCATCTTCATCTGAATCGGCTAGATTGGTCAAACTCCTTCGAATATCATTCGTCCAGTCGTCAAAAGTTACGACATTTTGGAAATTAAAATGAATTTGAAACGCTTGAATCGCGAATTTTAATTCCCTTCTTTTGTATCTGCCGGCCTTGTTTTGAGATCGCAAAAATATAACCTCGCAAAATACCGTCTCACCAAAATCATAAAAGTTCTCGCCACATAAAGTACCACTGAGTAAGGTGGAAGAACCGATCTTCTCAGATAAGTTGCAGTTGTGATTGCCAAAAAGAAGCCTGAAATCCTGAGAAGGTTCAAAATCGGAGGGGTTTCAAGCCCGTGCCTTCCGAGACTATAACTGAGCTGCGTAGCCGCATGAAGGAAGAGGGAACGGCCAAATTTAAGTAGGTCCTCAGGTTAGATGGTCCGACGGTGCTCAACTAGTATCTGGGAGGAGCGGGTCCGAATCCCGTCGAAGCCTGAATTTTTTCACAACCTACTATTCTGCAACTGCATCGTTTCTTCACTCTAAGCGCTTATTCTTATCCCTTAACTTTCGCAAAAAAAATGAAACCAAAAAAAACAAACAAACAAAGAAATGACGGGGTACTCTGCATCAATGTAAATCTCTAAAAAGCAGTACAATAGAGAACCTTTGACGCTGGAAATGATCCGTGGTTTCATTTTCATACGGGTATGTCTCCTATGTCTTCACTTTTGTATCACAGTTGGCAGTCGTACAAGTCAATCTCGGAAAAATTACACGATCTTGAAAACTGGTGAGAAAAATGAAAGTCGAACAACCAAGGCGTGATTAGAGGCGCTCGTAATTAGTTAGAAAATTACTTTGGCTTAGGTAGAGGGGGAAGGTGAAGGTGAAGGAGATTGTGCAGCGACGAGTCACATCTCTTCTGGTTACACTACTAAGCGTGCAATTTGCCTCAGAAAGCAAAAGCCTTCGCCATACTTGTGATTGTCTTTTTAAAGCCTCTATCAAAATAATTTCGGATTAATGACACTTTTAGCACGTGTCCATTTCAGTTTCCGAAAAAAGTCTAGAAATGCGTGCAGTAACAAAAACGGCGAAAATTCGTCAAAATCGTTAAATCCGCCAAGCTGATTTCGCTCTGACGAATTTAACTACAATTCGTCAAAATCGTCAAATCCATGAACAACCACTCGGTTTGACAAAGTTTCGTCAAATCTGCCATTTCGGTCACCGCGTGCATTTCTGCACTTAAGTAGAGATATGTTTAGGGAGTTTCCTCTCTCCGTTTCCCATATCAGCTTCCTGAGTGATCGAGAAAAGATGACAGGTGAAAACAAACCATTGAATAGTTGACAGCTGTAACTTTGCCAAGAATTAAAATTGTAGCTCTTCCCATAATGAAACTGTGAATTCTGTAGCAATGACTGACCGGAAGTCACCATACTTTCATTATTTCAACTTACGACATAATGCGATTTTCATCTGATCGAAAACAGTGAGAATACAAACGCTAACAATGGATAATCTCAAGGAATTACTTAAACCAAAAACGTTTAACACAGTTAGCCATGCCGCAGTTGTTATTTGGATCCTGATCGGTGTAATCTTCCTTGGCATTTTTGCAGACGCAGAAAACAGCGAATCCAGGTATGATTTCCGCTGTGGCGGGGCGAAGAGTGAAAACATCGACCTTGTCCGTGGAAGATGTTTCGAGTTATACGAGAAGCAGTATAACAAACACGATGTTCCTATCTATGCCTTCGTGATCATGAATTTCTTCCTCATCGGAACTGTCTGTGCTATTTACTCCCAAATAGCGAGCCTCACAATCGATCAACTGTCGCCAAGCGCTCGTAACGGTGATCTCGAGGGGCAGTTGCGCGACCAAAGAAACGCACTTTCTAGTAAAAAGCTGTTTATCGCTTACTGCTGTCAACTTTTCGCAAGGATTGTTTTAGGAGTTCTCTTCATGGTTCTACAAAAACAGTTTCTTTATCCTCGGGACTTCCCCCCCAACTTCCCTTGTTATCTAACCTCTGGAGGGAGTCAGCCAAGGAATTCTACTGGCGTCTGGCACGAGTGTCATAATCAACGAGCAACTAAGAAAAACTCCTGGATGCGCGCTGTTCTTGTCGTGAACGGAATTTTTCTCTTTGGCATTCTGTTAGAAACCGTCTATATTTTGCTACGAGCGTGGAAAGAGGATAGTTTCATGAAAAATTCCAAGTTTCTAAAGGCTCACCTGAATCCCTTCCATGCCGACTCGCAAAATGCTACCACATCGACTCGGTTGAGACCTGAACCTCCGCAGCAAGAAGAAAGAACAGAGCAAGAAACGAACGTCCCACAAGAACAACACCAGGAAGAGGAAAGTAAAGAAAATGAAACGAACATCCCACATCTGCCAAGCAAGCCTCAACAACTCCGAAAACCACCGCTTCAGGAATTCATCGAGAATACAAAGAAAATTATTAAAGAAGAGACAAATCAACCTCCCCAACTCCGGTCGCCTTTTTCAAGTACTCCCGGCGAAGGACGCCCAGCTAAACATTTGACTCTGGATCAGATTTACACAAACCTTGTCGTTGTTCCAGACATGGCTAATTATGACTTTACAGGAGACAGACGGCAGAAACTTGAAGTCTACACCAGATCGGGTGGGGAAAACACAACACCAAAAGGGCCGGAGGACATTCTTAACCAAACCATATTATCAATAAACGTTTTGAGCTCTTAGATGCCCATCATCTGCTTTAGACACGTTTGTTTCTCTGGTGCACTCAAACTTCCCAAGAATCCTGACCTCGATATATCTGGTGAACTCTTCTCTTCATTTCTCACGGTCTGACGACAAAATTCATTTTAACCATCGGTCACCGAGCTCGCAACATGCAAAGAATCTCCAGTTGCCGAATTCGACCTTTGGATGCCGTTTTGCGATTAATTCCTTTCTTTCCTTACTACTCATTCGTCTCGCAAATGATGTTGAACTTCAACCTGGTCCTGTTGGCTCCTCTAGTTCAATGACATCCTTTGATCTTCGGGATTTGTCAACGAAAAATGGGCTTACAATTATTCATCAAAATATCAGCCTCGTGGCGAACAGGGAAGTCTATGCCAAATGATCGATGATTCCAAGCATATAGACATCAGATCCCTCAGAGACTCACTATCGGACAGTGAAGAAAGTTCAACAGATGGCTATACGTTCATTAATAACCAAGGAAAACAGGCCAAAGAGTTTATATCTCCATTTTCATAACCTGGAACGATCGAATTATCTGGAAAAATTCTATTTCCAAAATCTAAGGGTATGGTTTTAAAAATAAACTGGAGTCGATGCTTTCTGCTGTATCATCTGAAAACAAAGAATGCATTTTGACAGGCGATATCAACTGCAACTATTTGGTAAGCTCAGACAACAAAGAACTGAAGGCAATGCTATTGTCTTTTGGCCTTAAACAGCTAATCAAGGATCCCACGAGGAACGCAAGATTCAAAAACACTGATAGATGTGATTTACTTATAGTGTTAAAGCCATTCCCGCCGGCTTAAGTGACCATGATATGATTGGTTGTGTCCGAAAGCTGCATAACCATAAATTCCAGCCAAGAACCATCACCTGCGAAACTATGCTAATTATGATCCTATTCCTTTTGCAATGATTTACGGTCCAATGTTTCTGTCTTTAAATCTTCATCAAAGAATTCTATAAAGAAGAGGATCAAAGGGAAACGCAGCCCATGGCTTACACAGACCAAGAAATGAATACCAAAGATCAGCTTTTGAGAAAAGCGAGAAAGACATCAGAACATACAAGCGCCAACGAACATAGATGATGAAGTCTGTATCACAACTCTTGAGAGACTGTGGGTTCACCTAACAAATTTTGGTCATTAAAAAACTATAACAAAGTCTACAAAGGAACCAGGAAGCTTTTCTCGTTAATGAAGCAGTAGAAACCGACAAAGAGGTTATTGCAAATTTGTTCTGCAAATTCTTCACTGATGTTGCGACGAAAAAGAAAGATCTTCAAAAGGCCCCTTACAATAGACACCCAGCAGCCGCTAAGAACTTTGAGTTTAGATCAGTCTCGGAAAAGGTTGTCTTTAACGCATTAAAGAGCCTTAAGAGAAATAAGTCCTCTGGCCTTGACAACTTTCCTTCTGGAATGTTAAAGGACTCTGCTGATATAATAGCAAGCCTCTCACGCATATAATTAACACTCTCGCAACAGGGTCTGTACCTTGACTGGAAAGCGGCTAAAATTGTAACTTTTTAAATCTGGTTCAATGGACGAAATCTACAATTATAGGCCTAGGTGAATTCTTCCTTCAATGTCAAAGATCCTGGAGAAAGTGGTATTTAAGCAGCTGATGGCTCATTTTGAACAGAAAGGTCTACTTTCTCATTTTCAGTACGGCTTCCGTCGCATGCGCTCTACTGAACTGGCCGTTACTCATCTTACCGATGTTATCAGAAGAGAAGGTGAGAATGGTAACCTGACAGGCTGTGTTTTCATCGATCTATCCAAGGCGTTTGACACCATCAGTCACTCTGGCCTCCTGAGCAAGCTTTCAACTTACGGAGTTCGTTGAACAGAACTCGCATGGTTCACTGATTACCTTTTCTGCAGATCACAAGTTGTCCAATATAAAGGCGTGCTATCAGAACCTCAACCCATTCTCACAGGTGTTCCTCAGGGAAGTATCCTGGGTCCTATCTTATTCATTATCTTTTTCAACGATGTACATAAACCGCTTCAACACTCGAAGATTATCACTTATGCCGACGATTCAGTCATCTATACCTCTTCTAAAGATATTGATACTATACAGAGAAGCCTTAGCGAGGATATGAATAACCTGTGCGAGTGGTTTAAAGACAACGAACTGATCATTAACCTAAAAAAGGATCTTGTTATTTGGAACAGCTAAAAGAATCAACCTTCAAGACAAGGAACTTAAACTTTCTGCTAATGTGTCATCAATAATACCTCTACCTATAAGTACTTAGGTGTTCACCTTGACTCATCACTAAACCTCGCATCACATTTTGACCGAATCTATAAAAAAGCTGCAACCAGAATCAATCTCTTGCGATCAATTCGTCCTTTGATCGAAAATTTGAATTTCTATAACACTATGATCGCACCTATCTTTACCTATTGCGGAACACTTGGTCTTAGCTTTCCGGATTACCGAAAGGAATAAAGAAATCGAACGACGAGGCTTTAAAGTTATTGGCAATAGAAATCCCCCATCCGTGAACAATTTGATCAAGCGTAAAAGCTTTTTCGACTGTCTCCTGAATAATGTTTGCACACCCTTTAAGAACTACTTCGAAAGGCTGGTTCATTCTAAGGCCACTAGGAATAACGATATCAGTGAAATTACCCAAAGTTCGTTTAGAATTTGGTAAAAAGAGCTTCTATTACCAAGGAGCAAAGACTTTCAACAACCTGCCTGCTGAACTAAGGTCGTTAGATTCGAGACTGAAATTTAAGAACAAATTGCGAGATTATTTTAGTTAAATTCTATCTAAACGTGGTTATAGGTATCCTTTTCAGAGCATTTTTATTTAATTTTTAATTTTTTCATTTTATTGTATGCTTTTCTAGACCTTAAGATCAATGATTATATCTTGTTAAATTTTATTTTATTTATTTATTTATTATTTTTGACAGGATGACAACAGTGTTACACACTGATGGGTTTTTTCAATCCTGTATAAAAATTCGTTATTATTATTATTATTATTAAAACAAAAACGTTTTGATTGTTGGTCGTCCCGGAATCGGAAAGACACTTTGCTGTACCAAACTCCTCAGAGACTGGGCATTTAACAAAGTATTCCATGAATCATCTGATGATAAAATCCATTTTGATGCTGCTTTCTTCATCAAATTCAGAGCATTCAACGCGGCAACCGACCTTAGCCTCCGGGAACTGCTCACATCGTCAGAACATTCCCCCTCAGATCACATAGATGATGAAGTCTGGAATTACATCCTTGAGAACCCCCAAAGAGTTCTCCTAATTTTCGACGGAATCGATGAATTTAAACATAATTCAAAGATCGGCGAGGAAAACTTCGAGCCTCAATTTAAAAATCGCGCAGACGATAAGATGCCCTTGTATGCTCTATACGAGAAACTCGCGACTGGGAAACTTCTTAACGGAGCTGCCGTTTTGACAACCACAAGACCTACAGCTTTGTCATGCATCGAGCGTGTTAATTTCGACAAAGTCTTCGAGATCCTCGGCTTCTCATCCGAACAAGTCGAAGAGTACGTAACCAAATTTGCTGAGGAGGACAAGCATGCGGGCAAAACAATATGGCGACACATCGGCGGCAACAGGAACATTCTCTCTCTATGCTACATTCCTGCGAGTTGCTTCATCATTTGCTCAAGTCTCTTTCAAATGGCGAAGTTCTACGGTTCTAAAAGTCTTAGTCTACCAACGAAATTAACAGATATTTACAAGAAAGCAGTGAAAATATTTTACTTAAGACACAACGAAGAATTCCGCGGCAAGAATTTCACTCGCGAAAATTTTGAATCAGATAATTTGCCCCCTAACGTAGAAAAGAAATTCGAGAAACTTGAAAAAATGGCATTTGAAGGAATTAAAAAAGGAAGGCTGGTCTTCGGGGGAAACGAAGTACGCGGATTGGAAGGCAGCGCTCTTTTTCACCGCTTACCCGACCGTGAAACTACTCCGCTAAAACGTGAACAACAATTCTGTTTCATTCATTTAACAATGCAAGAGTTTTTCGCTGCGAGGCACCTAGCAAACATGGATGAAACAGAACTGAGGAACTTTGTTTCTACGAACATCGCGGACGGCAAATGGCAGCTGGTTTTTCAGTTTCTAGCAGGACTAATGAACGAGAAAGAAAACCTACCGAGCGAAATCATCACAGACCTTCTTCCTGTGGAAACTGAAGAGAAAGAAGACGAGTGGTACAACGAAGAGTGGACAGAGGATATGGAGCCAAGGAAAGTAACTTGTTGGCCGACTGGAGACAAAAAACATTTAGCAGTGACATTATTTAAATGCATTAACGAAAGTAGTGCGATGGAGGAAATAGTTCAGAGAAAACTACAACAAATTAACTTTAATTTTGTAAATTTTAATGATTGTCAACTCACACCTGTTGATTGTGCTTCAGTAGTTACTGTAATTAAGAATGTTCAGCAAATTTCACATTTAGATTTGGCTTACAATAACTTTGGTCCATTAGGTTGTTTTGAAATTTGTAAGTTGTTAAAATGTAGTAAATCTCAACTGAGCTGGTTAGACCTCACAGGAAATCAATTGACCAAAGAAGCAGCAAAGTATTTAGCTGAAGCCATCAACAACAACAACTGTCAGCTACGCATGTTAAACCTCTCAGCAAATAACATCTCACACATTGGAGCACAGCACTTGGCTGAAGCCATCAACAACAACAACTGTCAGCTACGCACGTTAATCCTCTCAGCAAATAACATCTCAGACATTGGAGCACAGCACTTGGCTGAAGCCATCAACAACAACAACTGTCAGCTACGCACGTTAAACCTCTGGGGAAATAACATCTCAGACATTGGAGCACAGCACTTGGCTGAAGCCATCAACAACAACAACTGTCAGCTACGCACGTTATACCTCTCACACAATAACATCTCAGACATTGGAGCACAGCACTTGGCTGAAGCCATCAACAACAACAACTGTCAGCTACGCACGTTAGACCTCTCAGAAAATAACATCTCAGACATTGGAGCACAGCACTTGGCTGAAGCCATCAACAACAACAACTGTCAGCTACGCACGTTAGACCTCACAAGAAATAACATCACAGAAGCAGGTAAACAACACGCAAAGAATTTACTTAGCAATAGTCAGTCTAACTGTCGCCTTATTATCTAACATCGCCAATTCACAAATAATTGCTTAATCTGGAAAAAAAGTTAAATAATCACTTACAATTCAAAATGTGAGGCAACCAGCTCAGTGACAATTACAACACAACCACTAAAATCGTGAATGAACGAAAGAAAACAAAGTTTGTGAAGCGCTCAGAGCAGAGAGATTATTTGAACCGGATCGAAATGAAGAAAAATGAACCAATGAACATGTTTATTGAGAACAAAGGATGTCAAAGTGTCTTTTTTTGTAAACGAACCAATTAACATTGAAGTTAAAACACAAAACTTACTGCATAGAAAACAAACAAACCTCGGACCTCTCAGGAAACTTTATCATTTTATGATTGGTTTATTTCGATCCTAAATTTACTGTATGCTTTTGTATGATTTGATCATTTATGTCTGTCACAAGAAATAGTTTTGTTTAGTTTATTGAAGTTTTTTTGGAGATTATAGGCGGATCAGATGAGTAAATACGATTCAGATCGCTTGCAAGGATAAAAGTTTTCTTTTTTTTTGGGTTTGTTTTTCTTTTTTTGTTTGTTTTTCTTTTCGATCAAAAGAATCCGGTTCAAGTAGTTTCATACTGTACACAAATTGTAAATATGTAAACCCATTACTTTTCAAAGACAAAAGACTTTATTGTAGGTTAGTGGTGTGAGACATATATTACGTTACACAATTTTTTAAGGTGTATGCAGTAGCTTTAAATATTGGAGTGTTTTTGCACATATTTTTTGCCTGTTACTATTACCATGATAAAATGAAAAACTTTGACAGTTGAGATTTCACTGACTAGTATTTGTAGATAAGAGCAGAACTCCTAAGTTTATCAGATGATTGTTGAATAAATCATGTAAGCAGATTTATTCTTTGTGTTGCTATCAATTCAACCCCTATGGTTAGACATATCAGACAGAGTAAAGAGCTTTACAAAAAGTTTTGAAACAAAACAAAAATTGGACAAAGGAGGACAATGGGGTGGGGCAGGGGAAGGGGGGGTTGGTAAAGCCTTCTCAATATCAAACAAAAGTATAAATAATTTATCTGAGAAACATGATCAGCTCAAATAGAGGCTTTTTTCAGTAGTACCTTTTCTTTAGCAGAGATAGCACCCTTCTTAAAATCAACTGTTGCCCTGCCTTAGGTTGAAATACAAAATTATTCCAACCCTATTTTAAACCTAGACCAAAATTCCACACCCTGTCTTAAACCAGCAATAAAACATCTTTAAAAAAATTAAATGAAAATAGCTTATCACCTCAAATAAATGCCCAACCAGATATTGAAAATTCTGGTCCAAATTTTCATCATGTTTAATTTTTTCATAATATGCATGTTTAGTTTTGAGAATTTGGTATTGGATCAACTAATAATCCCCTCCCCTGGCTGATATTTTCTTCAATCCCATCACTTGTCTGCTTGATATTGTATTGATATTGTAAGGAGAAATTCTGTCTTGGTCACTCATGGGAGTGAAAGGCTTAAAGGGTTAACACACAATGAAAAATTGCTTGACCCTATTTTTAATCAAGTTTCTTTCACAAGTTAACAAATATTCAATACCCTATTTACATGAACATGTGAATCTGTCACCTACTAACAATTTTAATCTTAAGTATTCATAACATCTATAACCATAATGCTTTCTTTTCTCTGAAGCTTATAACCCATTAACTTCCAAGGACTGATTGCTACTTCTCCCCTTCAGCTGCTATACATTTCATTGTAAATTAATTACAAGAATTTGAGGTTAGATCAAGATAAAAACTTGAAGGTATTCTCATTACCTTATGGATACAAAAAGGAGAAGCTACATGTTAATCACTTCCAGGAAGCAAAGGGTTAAGATGTGCACATCTGCAATTATTGTTAGGAGTTCTGTGTCTCAATATAAACAAATTGGGCTTTAACTTGGGGTAGAAGAGCACAGAACATGTCATCACAATGGAATGTGCTGCACATCAAATTCATCACCTTAGAGAAAAATGTGTAAAAATATGTAATATGTCAATTAGCTTACTCACAAGCATATTAACTTGGTACATCTAGAAATATACAAATTAGTCTTTAACTTACATTTATCTCAGTAGTCTGGAAATGTGGAATTCTGGAAATATACCAATAATTCCTTAGCTTAGTTGGATGTATCTTAAGTTGGTAGTCTGGAAATGTGAAAATCTGGAAATAGTACAAGGATATGGTTTTAACTTTGGTTCTAAAAACATTCAATTTTCTTTGTAGCCCACTGTGCTTTAACCAATCAGAGTGTCACAGTATTGTCCCTCATGCCAATCACATCATGAAATTAGGGTACTGTCATATGTTGCAATGGAATCAAACTAACATTGATAAACACCAAGAATAGCATTAACAAAGAATTATGAGCTCATCTACCCAGTGTCATAGTTAAAACTTCTAAAACTTCATTGACCCTGGTTAGAAATGTGATCAACTACCATTTACAAGTTAAAACATGGCTTAGTGTAACAATTAGCATAGCATGCCTAAGCAATTGGAATCATCATTTGCATGAATGTACTTCTGACACTATGGGGCACTATGGTAAGACTAAACTCTTAAAGATTCCCTGCCTTTCTGTAGACATACCACCAAGCATATCTATTTCCCAGAGAAAACTGGAAAACTGAAATACTCCTAAACTCCACCAACTTGGGGAGGAGGTTGGTTAGGAAGAGGAACAGGGGGCTGGTTTCACTTTGGTATTCACAGGTGACTCATAATTCTCAAAAACTGTCTCACAATGTCATTGGGAAATCATGAAAAGAATAATTTACAGGCCTGTTAACAGCTTCATCATCTGGAAAATTAGCCTAATGCTCTTTGAAAAGTCTAAAGCTACTAACTACAGGGGAAGCAGAACTGGGAGCAGCAGAAGCTGAGGGAAACGTGGGGGGGGGGGGGGGTGGGTCAACAACTACACATTCAAACAAAACTATCATTCAAATGGAGTAAAATTATCACGTTCAACACGAACATACTGATCTACTGCGAAAAATAGAGTTAACTTTGATAATTCTTGTGGATATGCATTCAAAAATCAAGGTTGCTATGTTGAATTTGTACCAGATGAAAACATTTCACTCACTAAAAGCTGCAGACTCTTCCTCCGGCAGCTCCTCGTCGTCAACACCTTCTCCTTCCCTAAAATATCAACATGACGATGTTTGCGTTCCGCTTGTTCCTTGGAGTTAACTAATACAAAATAAAAGCCAGTCTATGACTTCACGTGCATCTGTTGTATAGTTAAGGGGAGTAAAACGTACAACTGTGAGAACGTTTGATGAGGCAGCTTTCACGTTCAAATCGATAACAATGTCAACATGCAGAGGTGACACCCTGAAAAACATGATTCCGAAGAGCGATGGCCAGTGTCAGGGCTGAACCAAGACGAGTCACAAGAGATATGATTTAACGAGTGTCCCACGATAATTCGCCATTTTGAAACCGTGAGGGGCTTTGGGACGAAAATAACCACCAGCTGCTGGTACACTTCATGATACATACACCACCTATTACAGTGGCCCATCATTATGGCGGAAAGAATGCGTTTTAATTTTATCACATTTTGTAAAAAGGAGCAAGTATATTTCTCGGCGCTGACATTCATTCTTCCGTAGCTCTTTTCTTTTGTTACAACGAGCATATCAGACTTTCCCGGAGAATCGTGATCGTGTGGTATTTTTGTATTTAATTTTTTTAATTCACACCGATCTATTTTCGATATTCCTTATTTTTTTTAGGAAGCCCAAAGTCACGAGGAGGATCCCCCAGCTACTGCTGGTCGTGCAAGAAAAAGAGAGTCCTTTTTTTGTAAGTTTTATATTTCACGTGTGGGAGCATGATTTCATTGTTCAGGTTGCAAGCTGTTGTATATGAGATTTTCATTTTCTATTTTCTTTCAGGTGGCGTTTGAGACAGACTCAAACAAGCGTAACCAGATGGATAGACGGTACATGAAGTCTATGCAAACAAAAGTATTTCAGTGTTTCCTTTTTTTAATTTTATGTATATATATTTTTTTATATTTATTTATTTATTTGAATTTCCCAATGTAATTTAACAAGACTTTAAATAAAAACTGTTTTTTAAGCTCATGATATCGGGGTTGAAATTGTTTGTATCTACATCCCTAACAATGCAGTACCTCAGGATTTTTTTTTATTCTAAACTAGCCCTACCTTCCTTCCTTCCTTCCTTTCTGTCTGTCTGCTTGGCTTTCTTCCTCTATTTTTTACTTTATTTCTCTCTTTTTGCTTTTAGATGCAAGAATGGTATGCTAGGACTAAGCTGTCAGCACTCTGCTTTGCATTTTGGAAAGGCCAGTTCTGGATTGCAACAGGTTTAATGCTTTGACAGTTTAAGGCACTGATTGATGTTATTTACAGCCCACAGTATATTTTAAGGTATGGAAGATATGGAACATTTTTCTGATTTCTCATTCACT